ATTAAAGCCTATCCCCGACGTTACGCGAGATTTCTGGTCTTTTAGCGACAGACTCGCCGTTTTCGCCCTTAACAATACTAAACTTAACTAATCGATTTACTAATACAATTTGTAAATGTTATTCGTAACATATAATTTGCTAGTATACTTTTCTTGTGAATGTGTTTGTTTGATCAGTTCTTTTTAATCTTATTTGCTTCCAAAATTTGATTTTTGGGTTTCATTATCATCTTTCCGATCTATTTCGTCTAATCAACAAGTGATAATTTCTTTAATTCCCATTGCAATTGGTTGTTTATCAAAGTCTTTATCCATATATTTCATAGCTAATTTGATATAACAGTCTGGTCCTAAACATTTAGGTCGCAATGCACTGTTAATATTTGATACAAAACAATCGTCAAATGGAATTCTATCAAGTGCTCTTTGTCCAGTCGAAATCTCTGTCGCAACAACTCTAAGACCGTAAATATATGATGCTTGACCCATTAAAATTTCTGGTGCTATATACGGCAGAACTACACAAATTTTTCCTTCTGCCACTTTTCTAGAAAGTCCAAGATCATTAATTCTATTGAACCAATTTGCATAGTGTACAATTGCAAATTCACCTTTTCCTGAAAGTATAGTTTCCCACGTTTGACACCAACATTTGGCTTTAGATTTATCCATTTTGATGCCAACGCCATTTAGATAACAAGTATTAAGTGTAAACATGTTGTTGATATCTCCATTGTATGCGGACCTTTGGAAGCAAGCAAATGCTTTATGCCTATCAATTTTGACACCAGTTCGTAGGCTATAACAATATCCAGCTTGATATATCTCGTCAGAATTAGTCATTTCTGTCGATTTTTGATAATGTTCAAATGTCTTTTGCCACATTTTCAGTAGATTTTTGATAATTTTTAGATATATTGTGTTCATTTATTCTTACTCTAGTTTCTTGCAGGTAACAGCTGCCTAACTCAATAGCATATATCTTGACTGGCCTTATTATACCAATTGTTACTAATACAAAAATAATAAGCATAGTCCTCACTCTTCCACTTAAACTTTTCTTGGTTCGGAATTTTTTAATTTTCCTTTTTGCTTTACTTCGGAATCTCGATTATACTGTATTTTTCAGGTAGACTTCGCAATTCACTTCTACCAGGTGCTTTAAGATCATTTTTATTCGTAATATCAGGTTTGATATTATAATCTTTGTCATCCTCATTGGCTTTGTTACTTTTTCCAATATCAGGTTCGAAATAGGTTACATGTCTAATTATGTTCACTGGTTCATTTTTATTTTTATAACCAAACGCTTTTTCAAAGTCGCTCATCTCTTGTGACTTTTGATAATTGCCGAATGTTCTATGATTGTCTTTTTTAGCTTCAATCCTATTAGTACTATCCACTTCAGCAGATTTTCGTAGCTTAATAGAATTTCTTTTCAGTATTTTCACAATCCTTTGGCCGCAGCCAATCTTCAGGAATCTTGTCGTTGCAAGAATACCAAGTCTCATTGTTATCATTATCAGCATTTTCAGGTTCATCGAGACAACTATTATTTGGGCTCGGGGCTGTCTTTTCGTAATTGTGTTCTTTGTCCAATTCAGAGGTTTCTTTATCATCATTATCCGTATTGTTATTAGGCTCAGTATCCTTCAGGTATATTTTGTATTCGGTCTTTCTTATGTTGCTTTCGACTTCAATTCCATGGGCTGTTTCACTTTTATCTAGCTTAGTGAGGTTTATAACCTTTTTGACAGCTGCTTCATCATTCATAGCTATTCTTAATTTACAATTATTGTCCATATCAGCAGGCTTTTGACAATGGTTGGGTGACTTATTTTCATCTATTTCAAATTCAATTCCGTTTCGATAAAGTTGTCCAAGTTCGTTGGTTCCACTAGTTCGTCCCATATCTACCGATTTTTTATAATATATGAATGCCTTATATTCGTCATTTTCAGCTTCATCAGCACGATCCATTTCAGCAGACTTTTGATAGTTAATTGATGCTTCAGATCTGTCTTTCTGGACTTCAATTCCTTCGTCATAACAGGCACCAAGGGTGTAAAGTTCGTTAGTTTTTTTTACCTCAGCAACTTCTTGATAATGAATAGATGTCTTTTGTTCATTCATTCTAATTTCAATTCCATTTCGATTATAACACCTAAGGTCATGTGTCCTATCAGCGTATTCTTTGCGCATTAATTAGAAGCCCTGATTCCATTCTTATTGCATGTTTCCACTGGTCTTTGATAATGAGGAAGTGCTTTAGATTCGTTCTAATCTGTTCTAGCCTTTATATCCCTTTCTGATAATTGATAACTTTTGAAGGATTTCTTTTCGTCACCATCATACTTGCTGTTGGTCATTTTTTTTTTCAGAACCAAGCTTGATACTTTCACATGGTTCTTTCTCCTATTCTTCTTGGGCATAATAAGTATTGTAGACGTTGGTGGCTATTGATCTTCTTCGTCAGGGCCTGGTTGAATAAACTTTGGTAGTGTGAGCTATTTGACTTTTCTTTTTCGAAGCTTGGGTCACTTGGATATAGGGCGGTAGGTATATAATCAGAACTTCTTCAATACAGTGAGGTCATCTAATATTTCAAGTATTGTTGACAGGGCCTGAGGGAGTTTCAAGTCATCAATGTAATCATTTCCAAAGACTTTGTTTATAATTTCTTGGAATTTGGTAAGTTGTTTATCAGTCAGAGCTTCTGATAATGCAGCGCATTGTTCTTCTAGCTCTTCCACCTTCGGACATTTACTAACAACATGCCCTTTCGCTCTGCAATATGTACATAATGCTTCCTTTCAGAGATCTCTTCAGGCTATTTTTCTTTGATTATCTCTTCTGAATCTTGAATCTTGGCCATAGGTTCTTTCGATTGGAAAAGTGTTTCCTTTGGGGGTTTTTTTTTTTTTAATTCGGGTTTAGAAGTCCAATCTCACAACTTGAATTACTGGATTTATCGGGTCTCTTGGTTCAGGTGGTTTGAGAAGTTCGATCTCACAGTCACCACCAAATGTAAAAGTGAGATATGATCTGGAGTCGCGAAATATAGGTCTCACAGATATCAACTACCACTAAAACTAATCTAAACAATACTCTAAACTACTGAACCCTATCAACCCTAATGGTGGAAGGCA